ATCGGGTACAAGGCCGTCTCCACCGTCACTCCTGCTGCTCCTCCTGCCACTGCTCCCTCTGTTCGGAACGAGAAGGTAAGGAAAGGGAAGAAAAAACAACTGTGAAGGTGATACCATAGGCGCCTAAAGACATGGTACCGGCCAGTCTTTACCGTAGCACCTGTTGCTTGCTCCTCCTGTCACTGCCCCCTCTGCTAGGGACGATAACGGGAAATAGTGTGCTGGAAAGACTTTACTGTAGGCGTCTTGAAAATGGTACAAACCTACTTCTCCTCCTGCCACTGTTCCCCCTGCTAGGGACGAGCAGTGGGAGAAAGGATGACAGGAACGCGCGATAGCATGAGCATCCCCTAATCTGTCTCAACATAGCCCAGAGACTAGTAATTTGAGGAAACGCACCCCCACATCAATTTTTTTCCATCATCAGCCCGAGAACATGAAGAAAGGAAGACTGTACCTAGGATGATCTGAGGCCAGCTCTTCTTCTTCTCCTCGACCTTCGGCTTCTTCCCTCCACAGCAGGTCTTCTTCTCGCCTGTAGCAGCTGTAGCAGGGGTTGCTGTAGCGGGTGTGGCTGTAGCGGCGGCTGACGATACCAGCACCAGTCCGGCGAATCGGCGTGCGCCACGTCGCCGACGCTTACCGCCCTGCTCGTCCTGATTGGAGGCGACGCAGAGACCCGCGAAACCCGCCACTCGGGAGCCAATGGATAAGCTGGCCTGAAATCAAGGCAGGTGAAAGGGCTTCTGTCATTGGCGGAAGAACGAGAATACGAGAACAGAGGGAGCTTGATACTAAAACCTTCATACATAGGGATGGTCAATGCCAGCAACACGTAAAAGGGTTTAAGCACCGAATTAGCACACTCAAATGTAAGGAGAGACTCAGCGAAATAATTCAGGCAAGCGATTCGGGCCATGGCAAAAACTGCGGAGCTTTGATCGGCTTACCACACGGCTCATCCTGCGAAATGCACAGAAGAGAGCAGACGAGGGAAGCAGAGAAAGAAGGACGAACATAGTATGAACGAGGTGAAACAAAGGAAGAGTTAAGAACTCGCAAAATTAGGACCAACGATGTACAAAAGCAGCCGCATCCTATCAATGCTGCACGAAACACAAGAAGACCGTCCTTTTCGAGAAGCATTGACAACAGTAGTGTTGATTAGAAATAATACTTAGTCTATCACAAGCGCCGGAACCCGCGCATGAACGACATTGTAGTCTTAATTATTTTTCATGCGATGTGTCTGCTATTTAGCACCGTCAATATAGAACGCCGGTCACTGTCGAGCTTTCTTACCAGGCAGCACCGCCGGAAAGATCCAGAGAGCCCATTTGTCTGGTCTAAAGAGGTGACTCCGGAAGGAGTTGACGTTAAGTGGGTGACTACTTTTAGATGATTGATTCCACTGAAAATTGGCTAACAATCACCCACAACGTTTCTCGAGACATCAAATGCCGACAGAGTTCTTCAAACCTAGAAATAAGAGTCTAATGACAGGCGACAGGACATCACACATCAGACACGACCAGACCAGCAGAAATCAGTGATCAAGTGCTCCTAGAGGCGTGGAATTGTGGATAGCAGTGGGTGCAGGCAGAAGCGTACAAGCAGCGATCCCAAACCTCCAGCGCACACCTCGGCGTGTGTTGTTATTGGTCCGCGTGTCCTTCTGCGGTGGGTTCTTTCATGACACCTGGACTGATTGGTTTGGAACCAGGTATGGCAAAATGATGAGCCAAACCTGTGTTCTGATTGGGCCTTTTTCACAGTGCAGGTACTCAGTACTCGCAAAACGCCAGCAGGTACTGTGAACCTAGCCAATCAAACTGTAGTATTATACATCTTCCACAACATGACATTCTATAGAAGTGTACATAACCCCTAACTTCACCATTAAAACAGAAACTACTTCCTCATGAAAACAGGAGCAGTTGGGTCATACTCTTCCTGCCCGGAAGTGCCAGTGCGTCCTGTGAACGCCTTCTTGATCGTCCCAAGGATACCACCTCCTGTCCCTGCTGCACCACTCTTTGCACCATAGCCTGTGCCAGCACCACTCTCGTGACCATACCCTGCGCCAGTACCAGTGCCATAGCCGGCGCCAGTACCAGTTCCCCTCTCGTGAGTGGCACCCTGACTATAGCTAGTGCCAGTGCCAGCATGGCGCTCGCCAGTTACAGCTTCCTTGGCTTTGCCCATGATGCCTCCTGTGCCATGCTCCTGGGTTGCACCATAGCCAGTCCCCCTCTCACCATAACCAGGTCCTGTATCACCATAACCAGTGCCAGTGCCGGCATGGCGTTCACCAGCAGTACCTCCTGTTCCAGTAACAGCGTGCTTCACCTTTCCCATAACGCCTTCACCTCCCGTCCCACGCTCCTGGCTCGCACCATAGCCAGTGCCAGTCCCACGCTCACCGTGGGTGGCACCGTACCCAGTGCCAGTCTCGCCATACCCAGTGCCAGTCTCGCCATACCCAGTGCCAGTCTCAGCGTGGCGCTCAGCAGAGGGCTTTCCTGTCACAGCGTGCTTGACCTTGCCCATCACACCTTCGCCTCCAGTCCCACGCTCCTGGCTTGCACCATAGCCAGTGCCAGTCCCACCATAGCCAGTGGCACTCTCACCATAACCCGGGCCACGCTCATGGTGCTCCGCAGAAGGCTTTCCAGTCACAGCGTGCTTTATCTTCCCCATCACGCCTTCACCTCCAGTGCCACGCTCTTGGCTCGCACCATACCCGGTGCCAGTCTCCCTGTAACCGGTCCCAGTACCACGCTCGTGCGTTCCCAGGCCAGTTCCACGCTCACGCTCGTGGCTTGCACCGTAAGCGCCAGCACCAGCAGCACCAGCAGCACCAACGCCAGCAGCAGTTGCACCGGCAGCACCTGGCGTCACTCCGTGCTGAGCCGTTCCCTTCTCCGCCTTGGATGCATGCACCTTGTGAAGTGCCTCTGCCGAAAAGCCATTGAAAGGTAACACGGTACAACAGATAGCACGTGATTAGAAGGAAAAAAACAAATGGACCAAAAAACATCAATAAAAAGCCATCAGGAATGGAACAGCAGAAGAGATGCATACGGACCTTCAGTGGCCTCCTGGCGTCGCTCGTGGGCGATCTCCTTCCTCTCCAGCTTCTCCCTCGTTGCTTCCAGCTTCTTCTCGAACGCCTCATCACGAGCCTCCAGATTCTTCTCCCTGCCACGCACGAATCAAATTCTCAAAGTCCGAAGAATATCAGAATCGAAAGCAGGTTAGCTCAGTAGCCAAGAAAGAAAGGAAGAGGAGAAATTATTCAACTTTCAGTCACCTGTTCATGGGGTGCTTGAGCTTCTCGAAGGTCTGCTTCATGTCCGCTTTGGCATACTCCATCGACTCCTTGAGCCCCGCCTTGGCTCCCTCCACCTTCTCCTTCGTGCCTTCCTTCACCTCCTGCATCATGCCCTTCATTCACGATCGGGGTTCAAACGGCGACTGCTGTTCACACACACAGCCCGTGCTTCGCGGCAACAGCTCACGACGCGGTAGCACAACTCTCGCGAGCAGACCTCTGCTTGGGACAGGGCATCAGCTCAAATGACGCGAAGTCGGAATCGGATGCTCGGAAGCAAGAACACCACCACCAAAAGACTATTGAAGGAATAGGCGAGAGCGAAACGGGTCCTGAGAGCGTTCGAACCCACGACGGTGAATTTGAAGCGGAGGCGAAAATCGGCGAGGCTAGCTGCTCCATGATAGCGGCTCGGAGACTGCTCTGGCTCCCCAGCTCCTGCCGCGCTTGCACGGCACCGCTTGCTGACACGTGGCGAGCGTCGCTCGCCATGCAGCAAGCTCAAGTGCTGACGATTGTAACGAATGAGATAAGCCTCTTTGCTGAGTAGGGAAATAAGGCTTCCTTTGACTTCGCTAGAGACAGGCCTCCAGAAAATTACATTACGTGGGTGCACACTTCCCAGCATTCCGCACTAACCATTCTCGTACATCTAATTCGGCTGGGTTCCAAAGAAAGTTCATCTGTGTTTTGTTCATCATCACTGATGCAGCAAGTTTGTTTGCACCATCTTCAGATGTAATACAGTCTAGAGAACTAGTACCATAGGCCTAGGATTTAGCATCTAACCTAGCATCGCCTATGAAGGCTTTCTAGATTTGTGCCTACAGGCACACATGTACGGTAATAGTCTTGCTAGTGAGGCACTAAGTGTTGACAGATTAGTTGAGTTTCCCTAGATCAATTTTCTTTTTTATGGCACGCTGACTGTGGTAGATAAAGGCATCAACCATGCCGGTAACAGTGAAGATGCCTGCACATGAGGGAGAAAAAGCAGCAGCGGGGGAAGGGAGGGACTTATTAGTGAGATGTCTCACCAAAATGAAAAACAGGGGGGGGGGGAGGGGTGGTTGATAGAACTGAAACAGGCGAAGTGCAAATAAAGGCTCTTTTACCCACCTCCTACGATGGCACAGACGTTGGTGAGAAAGTGGAGGAAGGAGGTGTAGCGTTCGGAATATTGCACCTGTTGGCTCCAACACATGCGCAAAGAAGCAGAAAAGCAGCAATCCGGACTCAAGTAGCAGGGAGAGCAGAGCAAGGACGAGCTGAGCAGCACAAGGGACGCTAGCCCTGATGAGAGCGAGACCATACTTTGCGATGTTTGAAGAGGAAAAAGGGGCTCTTGCCTTGATGGGGGAGAGGTCGTAGAAGAAGAAGACTCCTGGCAGCGATTGCTGGTCATGCGATGGTGCTGGCCGGAAATGCTCCGTCACTGAGAACTGCAGGAGAAAGCAAGGTGTGGCAAGAGGGGGTAGCGGGGACCATTGGCGCCTAGAAAAAATGCTGGTCATGCGATGGTGCTGGCCGGAAATGATCCGTCACTGAAAACTGCGGGCGGAAGGGAGGTGTGGCGTGAGGGGGTTGGCGAGGAGGGGGGAAGGGAGACGGGAAGGAAACGAGAGTGTGAGGGCAGAAAAAGGATAGGGAGAAAAGAAAGACGCAGAGCAATGAAGGCAGACCTACTTGTACATATATACGTGTGCGTGTGTGCGTGTGCGTGCGTGCGTGCGTGCGTGCGTGCGTGCGTGCGTGCGTGCCTGCGTGCGTGCGTGTGTGTGTTTGTGTGTTTGTGTGTGTGTACATGCATATATGTATGTACAAAAAGATATACATGCTCAAGGAACCAATGCACGATATATACGCGTAAATCATTAGCCATACCTGGTTGGAGGCGATGGTGTGGTTGTGGGAGTCGGTGAAAATGGTGGGCACCACCTTGACGAAGTGACAATCCAGACGTACATACATATCCATACACATATGAGTGCATACATATATATCCATCGTAAGACTTGGGCAACCAATGCCCATACCTGGTTGGAGGCGATGGTGTGGTTGTGGGAGTCAGTGTACATGGTGGGTACGACCTTGACGAAGTACTGATACATGCCTGACTCGCCCTCCTGCACCCACTGCGTCCTGCTCACACGTGTGGGATGGGTGGGAGATGGGAGGGGAACGGGAGGCGGTACTTGAGCTGTGAGGAAAGGGAGTCAGTGTACATGGTGGGTACGACCTTGACGAAGTACTGATACATGCCTGACTCGCCCTCCTGCACCCACTGCGCCCTGCTCACAGCAGCAGGCATGGGATATAATCGGTGGGGAAGTGAGAGGAGGTAACTCAGCTGCATGGGAAAGGGATCTGGCGTGGACATGTGGGGCATCAGCTTGATGAAAAACAGTGGTGAAGGGAGGCCATCCATGCGGTCAAACAGCGAGCTGATGCTCTTCTTTACCACAAGCAGGTTACTGCTTGACAGCATGGGTGGCCTCACGGCTACAGCACGGGAGGCGCATTACTCCTCACTGCTCTGATCCGCACGAATTTAGAAAACTTATGTGCCCACCATGCCAGAATGGCTCACTGGTTTCAACTTGTTCACAACGACTTACGTGTCCAGTGGGTTGACGGCTCCCGGGAACTTGGCACCAAATGAGAGGGAGTTTACCGTGTGAGATATCTGGCAGAGGGGAACACGTGTGGCATAGGTAGATTCGGGAGACGGGGAAGGGGGAAAGGGGGGGAGGGGAGGTCACACACAAGAAGACAGGAGTGACTTGACAGTGTGGACTTTTTGCTAAAAGGGAAGGTGTATGGCATCATGTGGGAAGGGGGGTCTGGGAGCAAAGGGAACGTGAGCGGGAAAAATGGTGATCCGGCAACAGGTGAGGCATGGGTTCATGGTTGTGTGGCAGCATAACTGTGTCCTGACTCGCATTCAAGCAGTACTCACATTGAAGATGGTGTCGTGGAACATGACGAGGTCAAAGATGGATATGCCTGCTGTGTTAAACACCTTGGGTGCTAAGACGCCTCTAAATTGGTTCATAACAGTGTTCCCCTCCCCAGCTACTCACATTGAAGACAGTATCGTGGAACATGACGATACGAAGATGGAGATGCCTGCCGTGTAGAGCACAACTTGCAGCAGCTTCTCACAGCCAGCGAGCAAGTAGCACTCACATTGAAGACAGTATCGTGGAACATGACGAGGTCAAAGATGGAGATGCCTGCCGTGTAGAACACCTTTGCCGGGGCGAAGTGGAAGTTGCCTGCTACCTTGTTCACCTGCAAGAGAGGACGGATGGGAGGAGCGTGTGTGAGGTGCTGCGGGGACGGGTAAGGCAGGAGAGAGTGAGACAGCGGAAAGACCATTCTGGCGAAGTGGAAGTTGCCTGCCATCTTGTTCACTTGGAGGCATGGGGCGAATGGGAGGAAGGGAAGGATGGGAAAGAAGAATCCGAGGAGAGGATGGGAAGAGGCGCAAAGGAAAAAAAAAGAAGACCGGCCAGGGGTGAACACGCCATACATGTCGCACCCCTCCATCCCACCACACACCCCCACCGCCTACCTGGTGCATCCGTAACCAACTCCTCACCTCGAGCACGCCATACATGTTGCACCCCTCGCCCACTTGCGCCTGGATCTTGTCTATCAGGTCCTCCCTCTTGCACTGCGCTCCCACCACACACGAGAGAGATGGGGGAGAGTGAGACGAAGTTAACGGCATTTCAGTATGCACTGCACACACCCACTTGCGCCTGGATCTTGTCTATCAGGTCCTCCCTCTTGCACTGCACTCGCATCGCACCACACAAGAATGGCGGCGGGGAGAGAAAAGGCAGCAATTGCGGCGTGCAGTCAGTCAAGCAGCAGGAACAGGGGGAGGCGGGGACGGGGGGATAGGCAGTGGCTGGCAGAGACTGAGGCGCCTAAGCAAGAAGCTATCTGCACAGTGCTGTCAGGCAGCTGGTAAGGGGGCGGACAAGACGAGTGAGGACGGTGAGCGCGTGGTGGAAGGGAAATGGAGATGACGAGAGAGGTAGGGAGAGAGGAGGAGGAACCTGTTCGATGGCGTCAGCGTTGTTGAAAGCCCAGCCTCGCTTGTTGTACGCCTCTCGCACCTCCTCACAGTTATTGCAGCACTGGTCGTCCGTCTGACGCGGGTGCAAAGGGGACGAGGGAGAGGGGAGGCGTGGGGGGGGGAAGGGGGGGGATGGCGCAGAGATGATGATGATGATGATGATGATGATGATGATGATGATGATGATGATGATGATGATGATGATGATGATGATGATGATGATGATGATGATGATGATGATGATGATGATGATGATGATGATGATGATGATGATGATGATGATGATGAGTGGAAGGAGCAGGTGATTAGAGAGTGAAGAACGGGGGAAAAGGGCGAGCAAAGGGCGAGCAAAGGGCGAGCAAAGGGCGAGCAAAGGGCGAGCAAAGGGCGAGGGTGGGTGATTAAAAACAGGAACGCACCTCAGCAGCGCCGTAGCAGCTGCCACAGAAGTCCTGGTCGTCGGGCACGACGTTGCTTGAGGCTCCTCTAACAACAGAACACATAGTGCCCCTCAATAGAGAGAGCACACAGCATGGCGCACGCACGCACGCACCTCAGCAGCGCCATAGCAGCTGCCACAGAAGTCCTGGTCGTCGGGCACGACGTTGCTTGAGGCTCCTCTAACAACAGAACACATAGTGCCCCTCAATAGAGAGAGCACACAGCATGGCGCACGCACGCACGCACCTCAGCAGCGCCGTAGCAGCTGCCACAGAAGTCCTGGTCGTCGGGCACGACGTTGCTTGAGGCTCCTCTAACAACAGAACACATAGTGCCCCTCAATAGAGAGAGCACACAGCATGGCGCACGCACGCACGCACCTCAGCAGCGCCGTAGCAGCTGCCACAGAAGTCCTGGTCGTCGGGCACCACGTTGCCGAACTTGTCGCGCTTCTTGAGCACGTCGTGCTGCTTCGCCCCTATCTCGTGCTTCGAGTCTATCCCCTCCACCGGCAGCCCGATGGGCGTCAGCCGCCGCTTGTAGATGTTGTGCACCTGATGGGGAGGAGGGCGGGGGGGGAGGGAGGGGTAAGAGGCGGGGGGCGTTGGGGGGGGAGGGGGGACGATTGGAGGGGGGTGTATACCCTCCACCGGCAGCCCTATGGGCGTCAGCCGCCGCTTGTAGATGTTGTGCACCTGATGGAGGGGGGAGAGGGGGGGGGGGTGGGGAGGGGGAAAGGAGGGATGATGCGGGGTGGATGAGGGTCAATGCCTCTTCCGGCAGCTCGATGGGCGTCAGCCGCCGCTTGTAGATGTTGTGCACCTGTTGTGGGGAAAGGGGCGGGGTGGACATGGAGGGCAGGGGGGACACGGAGCGCAGGGGGGACAGAGGGGACATGGGAGCTAAGGGGAAAGGGTGAGGACAAGGGGGAAAAAGGGGACCGGGTAGGACATGGGGGACGTGGGGGGGACGTGGGGGACGTGGGAACAGGAGCAACAGGGAGCTGAGGGTGGATAGGGAGGACGAGGTAGATGATTGGATGGTTTGGAGTCAGGATGGGAGGCGGGAAATCTGTGGTCAGAAGGGAACATGGCGGTCCCAACCAAGTCACAACAAACTACCATGAAATGGTATGGTTTGGCGGGCATGGCATGGTTTGTATGCGTACCACGTCAAGGTGCTGCTCGCCACTGATGTCCATGGCGTCCAGCGACAGCACCGCGCATGACAGCCGAGGAAACGTCACGTCCAGCTGATGTGGGTCGGGTGAGGTGGTGGTGGAGGGGGAAGGGGAGGGGGGGAACTGATTTTGAGAAAGGGGGTTAGCTGGGGAGGGGAGCGGGGGTCGAGAGGAAGGATTAGGAGGCGGTTGAGAGAACGTGCATTAACCATGACTCGGGTCGACGAGAGAGCGGCTCCAAATGGGCCACATATTTCGCGAGGTCGTGACGATCTGGAAACATGTGGGCGCTCACGTTTATTTTGAGGGTTTCTCCGCGCGACAAGTCGACAGAGAGCTCGTTGACGATCTTCGGCTGGAGGAAAAGGCCTGATCGGACGGGAATGGACGGAGAGGAGCGGGAACGGACGGAACGGAGAGGTGGATGGAAGACGCAGGGTATGAGCAGAGAGTACGAGCACGGTGGTTGTGCCTGGGGCTTATGTTAAGGGCGATACAAACAGCAGCAATGCCTAGGGAAGGAGAGGAAGAAAGAAAGAGAGAGTGAATGGATACATATTTCAGCAATTAAGGTTCATGTACAATGAAAGGGAATGTTCATTAGTAGCACGGCCAGGACGACGAAGGGGAAGAGCATGAGAATTCTAAGAAGAAAATATCATGACGGAGAAGCACAGCTGACATGCGTGCGGAAAAGAATGTTCATACGGAGTTCAGTGATGAAGAGCACGGCCATGACGACGGGGGAGATGAGCGTGAGGATGCTTATAAAGGGTATATCGCAGCTGACATGGGCGTGGGAAAGGATGATCATACGGAGTTCAGTGATGAAGAGCACGGCCATGACGACGGAGGAGAGGAGCGTGAGGATGCCGCCCGACATGGTGCGACTGTAGAAGTCCTCATTGACCTTGGGATACGCGTCCAGCTGCCGAAGCTTTTTAAGAAACTCCATGGCCTCGAGTCGCGCTCCTCCTTAATCGGTGACTAAGAACAGCGGAGAGTTCTCAGATGTTGTGACCGCGAATCAACGAGGATTTTTTGTTCCTGTTGACTCGCTACGGCGAATTCTTCGCGTTACAACGAAGCGTCGCCACGCGTGAACGAGCTTGAAATCATCATCTTATAATTTCTAATCTAAAAGGAACTAATGAATTCAGAGCAAACCCGACGAAGTAAGTCGCTTTGGCCTGGAGACTGGTTAGATCGATTCAAGAGGAAAAGGAGCGGTGCTGGTTCATCAGACTTCGAAAGACGACTAGCCTTGAGCAAAGGTCGCACTACGGTCGCACCACTACAACGCTGAAATCGAGGATCAAACGAAGAACTACAAGCGACGCGGACGGCGCGGCGGCATAGATGTAAAGGAGTGATCAAATGTCAAGGATTACAGGAGACGGAACGGAAGGCGAACAGGCACGGACCAGAACGTGCTGCTGACCAGTCACCAACAGCCAGGGTAGCACTGAAGGTCAGGCTGGATGTAACTCTACGTGTGAAGTAGAACATGGTGCGGATGTTCGGACGGCAAACGCTCTGCACCGTGTAAAAACTTACTGAAACATAATGATATACTGACATACCGTGTACGGTCTAGAAGGATGAGCCGAACGAGGGGAGGGGAGGAGCACCATACCACACACAAGCGAAGCACACCCAGCCTGCTCCTATAACGAAGAAGCCGTCTGGAGAAAACTACAGATACGAATTTTGGAAAACTGCCAAGCTGTTACGAGTGCAATTGAGTGAACGAACGAGAATTGCACTATCGAAGCAAGAGTACAATCAGCGAAGGTATGAGCGAAGGATTATATAGCGAAACAATAGTGGTAACGGTAATGGACTGTGGTTGTCGCGTGTCGAGCCTGGGACTGAGGTTGGGAAAATGTCGAAGCGTAGGCCCGGAGCGCGGGTTACCAGCCGAGCCGTGAGGTCGGGATGCGATGTGCGAAAAAGGCGGGATGATGAATGATGCGATGGTCGCGAGTGGTAACGGTGCTGACTGAGGTGCTACAGTGATGTACGCGCTGGGCAGGGACGCGAAGTAAGGAAAAGGGAATTTCCTTACACTACCCCCCCTCCCCAAGGAGGCCCCTCTTACGAGAGCGCATGGACGTCGCGAAAATTTCGGCTTCGCAGATACTCGGTGAAGACAGGGTGGTTCTCAATTTTATCCAGGGGTACCCAGTTGTCTTCTGTGGGCGTTCGGTCCTTCCAGCGAATGAGGAACTCGATCCTTCGGGCTCCCCGAGGGTCGCGGACGCGGTGGCTGAGGATTTTTTCAGGGGTGATGAGTGGTTCGGTTGGGGGACGTGTCATGCTGGCTGGGCGATTTCGTGGCAGTTGGCTCGTGGATGGGATGTAAGGGCGAAGTAGGCTGACGTGGAATGAAGGGCTGACGTACCAGTCAGCGGGGAGGAGGAGGTGGGCGGTGACGGGTGTGATCATGTGGCTGATGCGAAATGGCCCACAATATCTGGGGCGAAGTTTTGGAATGATGGGCAGGCGAAGGTTCTGAGTGTCGAGTAAAACGAGGTCGTCGGGCTGATAAGTAACGGGTCTGCGATGTCGATCGGCGTTGCGTTTAGCGATGATGTTTGATTTTTTTATTGCTTCTGCTGCCCTGGTCCGTGCTGCTTGCAGGATCTCGGCGAACTGTTGTGCTCGTGGGACGGGGTTGTCGGGATTCGGTGTCATGGGTACTGTTGGGTCCTGTCCGTAATTTAGATAAAACGGCGACTGTTGCGTCGTGGCTGATGGTGCGTTATTGTATGCGAACTCAATGAGTGGCAGTTGCTGTTCCCACGTATTCGGGTCGTCGCAGGTGGCTCGAATCAGCTGCTCCATGGTCTGATTTGTCCGTTCCGTCTGTCCGTCGGTTTCGGGGTGATAGGATGAACTGAACTGTAAGCGCGTGCCGAACTGCTGCCACAGGTTCCGCCAGAAGTTGCTGGTGAATTTTGTGTCCCTGTCGCTGATGATCGACGCGGGTATCCCGTGCAGGCGTACGACGGTGGAGATGAATAGTCGGGCGGTTTCCTCGGCTGTGATGGATTTCCTGCATGCTGCGAAATGAGCCATTTTCGTTAGTCGATCGACGACGACCAGGATCGCGTCATTCCCACTCGCCCCAGCTGGTAACCCCGTGACGAAGTCCATCGTCACCTGCTGCCAAGCACGCTCTGGAGGCGGGATGGGTTGTAATTGCCCTGCTGGTCGCTTCCTGCTTGTCTTCATGAGCTGGCAAGTGGGACACGATGCCACGTGTCGTTGTACGTCAGTCAACATTTCTGGCCAGTAGTAGTACCGCTGCAGCTGCTGCCGTGTTTTTTCTACCCCGAAATGTCCCGAGGTAACTCCGTCGTGTGCTTCCTGTAACAGTAGTTCCCGAAGTAACGTGTATCCCGGTACCCAGATGCGGTCGGTTCCAGTTTTTACGTAATAGACTCCTTTTGCCGCTGCGAATTGCTGTGAGTTGCCTCCTGTAAAGAACGGGTCTGTTTGATATCCGTGGGTAAATAGGCCGGTAAGCAGTGGGCTGGTCTGGGCGAGTAGTATCGCGTGGATCTGGGCAGTGGGGCGGGTCAGTGCGTCGGCGATATTCGATGCTCCTTTTTTGTATGTGACCGTATAGTGAAAATTCGACTCGAGGAAATCGAGCCATCGAATTTGTCGTGGGTTGAGGTGGGGCTGTGCGCGGAGGTACTGTAGAGATCGGTGGTCTGTCCGTACTGTCACGTCTGCGCCAGTCAAGTAGCAGCGCCAAACTTTGAATGCATGCACGATCGCGAGCATTTCGCGGTCGTGTATCGGATAATTTCGCTCAGGCGGATGTAGTTTTCGTGATTCGTAGGCGATGGGTTGGAGGCCGTTGCCGAAGTCCTGTAACAGTACAGCTCCGATGGCGATGTCACTTGCGTCGGTAACCACTTCAAAAGGGCGGTGGGGATCAGCGATGCGTAGGACGGGTGGTGAGCAGAGAACGTTTTTTAGGGCAGAGAAGGCAGCATGCTCTTTCTCCCCCCACGTAAAAGCGACCCCCTTACGCAGTAAATCAGTGAGTGGGGCTGTTAAACGGGCCATGTCGGGCACGAACCGTCGAACGTAATTAACAAAACCTGAAAAACTCTGCAGCTCCGTGATGTTCGTCGGGGGGCGCCACGCTTTTACTGTATCCAGCTTCTTCGGGTCAATCTCAACCCCAGCCTCCGAAATGACGTGACCCAAAAACTCTAACCTGTCCCTAAAAAACTCGCACTTGGAGCCCTTGGTGAGTAGTCGATGTTCCTCTAAAACCTTAAAAACTGCTTCAAGATCCACTAAGTGCTGCTGCTTATCCCGGCTGTAAACTAAAATATCGTCCAGGTAAACTATCACGCATTTATCTAAAAGTGGTCTAAACACCTCGTTCATGGTCATCTGAAAAGTTGCAGGCGCGTTCGTCAGCCCGAAAGGCATCACTGTATACTCGAACGACCCGTACCTAGTCCTAAATGCTGTTTTGGCGCAGTCTGAAGGTTCGACCCGAATCCGATGGTAACCTCCCCGTAAATCTATTTTCGAAAAGACGCGCGCTGTTCGCAGTTGGTCGATCAGTTCGTCAGCGCGGGGGATGGGGTATCGCGACTTGATTGTTACCCTGTTAAGCGCTCGGTAGTCGATGCACATGCGAAAACCTCCATCTTTTTTCGGTGTGAACAGTATCGGCGCGGCGAACGGTGACGAGCTCGGTCGAATAAACTGCTTCTCTAACAGGTAATCTAACTGCTTCCTTAACTCGTCAAGCTCGGGCTGTGTTAGTCGAAATTGCCGCTGTACAGTTGGCTGTGCCCCCGGTTCTAACTCAATCCTATGGTCGTGCGCCCGCTGAGGTGGCAGTCCCTGTGGTAGATCATCCGGAAATATCCCCGGGAACCGTTTTGGTAGTGCCTGTAATTCGGTCGGTACGGCTGCGAGCAGTTTTCCTAAATCACTCTGCTGCTCGTCTTTTTCTACGATTGCGATATCCGCTGCGTACACGTCAGCTCCAGCGGCGACAGCTCGTTTCATCGTGATGGCGTTGACCTGGACTGTCGAAGATTCGGGTGGCCGCCAGCGAGGTAGAACGACCCAGTTACCATTACTTCGCACTGTGCAGCTCCCCGTCGTCCAGTCAATCCGTGGGTTGTACCGTCGCAGCCAATCACGTCCCAGTAAAATATCGTGCCCATCCAGCGTCGTTGCGAGCATTTCCTGTGTAAAACCGAAGTTCCCCCCGCAGCGGACTTTTACTCGCTCCACTTTTTCTCGTATGGCCAATGGCGTGCCGTTGACTAAACGTGCATCTATCTCGGGTAAACATCGGTTAAGTGTTAACTGTAATTTCCGTGCGGTTGCAGTATTAACTAAGCTGTGACTTGCTCCTCCGTCAATAAAGATTTTCACTGCTGCTCCCTGTATTTTCCCGTAGATCAGTACCGGGCAATCCGTCGCTGTACCCTCCTTATTCATCCGAGCCCGATCGATGGCGTGAATCGGTACTGTGACTCGGTGAGGGTCGGTGTGGTTGGGCGAGCAGGCAGTCTCGTCAGTAGTTGGCCCAACTTCTACTGACTGCTGGCGTTTCCCTGCCTCTGAGACTCCCTCCCCTGCTCTGCTCCTCGACGCCTCAGCTCTTCTGGACATTCGCTCTTGCGATGGCCCGGCCGGTTGCAAGCAAAGCAGCGCCCTCTAAATGGCGTGGCAGCTGCATTCGTTGCGACGGCGTGTACAGTGGCGTGCTCGATCGGTCCCCGAGGACGATGTCCGAAATAGGACCCCGGTCTCGGTCGGCGTAGGATATCGATTTTCTCGGCGAGCGCGAGGATTTCGTTGAAATTCGATAGCCCGCGTAGCATTATCTCGTGCGATATGTCCGGCTTCAGCCCTCCGACGTAACGGTCCACCCGTTCCGCCTCGTGCATGTAGCCGACCTGT